AGTAAATTATAGCAAATTATATTACCAATGAATTTGATATAAAAAATGTATGACAATAAAAATACTCTACTTCTGTGTATGTATTTGTTAATGTTTTATTTATGTATAAGTCTAAAGAACACAGTGAATTATTCTGTTAATTTATACAGGGCTAGTTATACACAACTGTTTCTATACACGCTCTGATAATGGTTCAGTATTTAGTATCGCCAATACCCTAAGCTCAAGTATCAGAATCGTTATCGCGAAGGGAAAAAGCGTGTATAAGTCACTGTATACTAAAGAAAGCTAACGCTAATGAATCAACAACAAATTCCTATCAGTTTCTTATAAACAAACAAATGTGTAGTTTTTCCAGCACATTCTCAACATGGAAATAAAGCCTTAAGAAAAGTGTGTGTCAAATTATCTCCATGGTTGCCATTAAAACAAACATTTAGAAAGTGCGTCCCCCACCTTCCCTGAGTCCATGAGGATTCGCAACAGACCATTGAGTCATTTCATAACATCCATACATGGTTCCAACTACAACTGGGACTCTCCACAACAAAAGATAATCAAAACAAGCTGGACAACCTAGTATAGACCCCGCTACAAACACACCTTAAAGCATTCGTATACTTCCCTTGTCATGTTCCACTCAATCTTGTGCCCACACAATCTAGTGTCCACATAGCTTTTAAAGTATATTCAACTATTGATGGACAAGCTTGCTACAGTCGAAATAACACTTTGCACTTGAATGGTGTGTGGACATTTTTATACAATCCTAATAATGGAAGAGCATCAAGAAGACAGTGTGCAGAACACTGCTAAACACAGAGGTATACTTTGTGCTTAAAAAAACATAAAAAATAAAACACTTTCACTCTAAAATCCAAGTGCTGGCACTTCAGGAATAGATCCAAAGGCTGAGGTTCACAGACTCTAATAAACAGACCCAGAAATCTTCCACGAGGCAATGAAAGCAAGCTTATGATTTGTCTGATAAAGATAAGCAACTGACGTGATGATGCCAAAGAGTTTGACATATCTTTAATTAACAGAGCTAAATCTGTACAAGCATGTAACACCGACTGCAACTTCGTTCTGATCCTTTGGTTTCCAGCTTGGGTTCAAAACCTGAGTTATACTGATGATTTTTGGGTGTAATAAACCTCTCTATAAGCAGACATTAACCTTACAAAGAATGTCATGCTTCAAACTATGGTAGTCAGAAAGCCACTGTTCTACATTTATGTGATGAAAAAACTGTCCGTTTATTGAATCTATTATAGGGTTGCCTCGATACTGGAATTTGATACCAATCAGTATACTGGATTTTTTAAAATGTCTATTTCCAGCAAACATTTAGTAGCTGTGGAGCACGTTTTTAAACCACAGATTTTCCATTGATTTTCACATGCTCAACAGAAATGACTGTGACTGGCTGTGATGGTCATCGGTTACTCAAACTCACCACTGTTCACTGAGTGAACCACATATAGAGGGACACTGGAGCGTTTTAAAGTCACATCGATCAGCTGGTTTGTTTATAAGCTGACATAAGAGCGATCCATTGATGAATCGCCGCTTTAAAAGACTCCAAATGGAAATGGGCGTTTTTTAAATTTCAGTACCGATTGAAATTGAATTCCGATGTAAGGACAACCCAGATATTCCTTTTTAATATATAACTAAATAACATTAACACATGCTGCTTTTGAAGCTACGTGTATAATCAGACAATTATTCAATGACTTTTAATGGCAGTTCCACTGTTCCAAGTAACAAATGAATCAATAAATACTTTTATTCATTAAAGGCTCATTAAATTGATCAAATGTCGCACTGAAGACTGCTGCAGGTGTTTTAACTAATTGAACTAATATAAGATACAGTTTGTGACGATATGCTAACCTTGGATTAGTAATGTAATGTATTTTTTTATTTAATGCCATATCAGCAACCAAGGCTATTTTCATGGCAGGAATCTTTCAACAATAAATATACAATTTAAAAATCAACAAACAAAAAAACAAATTAAATAAGATTTTTTGTGTTAATACATGATAAAAATTCTAAAATCTTTTCTGTTTTCACTTTGTTAAAAATGTCCTTCAAAGAGTTCATTTCATAAAAAAGGCTTCTGGAATTAGTAAAAGCAGGACAGTCCAGTAAGGGTAGGGTTTTCACCTTGGAGCAAAAAACCATGTGGTATTCTCGTATGCCCAATACGACATCTGGTAAAAACTACTTGATCAAATCGATTGTTAAAATGTCTTTAAATTCTGTGTGAAATTTCAGGTTGGATTTCATGTAATTTATTGTTTTCTAATGCATCCCATTCCTTTTGCCACTTGTTTAAAATGCAAGCGTTGATAAAAGGTTTCATCTCTGATGGAGGAATTTGGCATTTGATCACTACTTGCTTCAAAGCATCTTTAGCAGCTGCATCAGCTCGCTCATTGCCTGAAAGTCCAACATGTCCTGGAACCCAGCAAAAAATGATGTGATAAAACTGATTTTGTGCTAACCTTGGATTAAAAATAGTAGATATTCTGACTTAGTAATATTAATATAATATAGCAATATTGGCATTATAGTATACTGATTATTTTTAAATATCTAGGTAACAACAACAACTTTTTCCCCATTGAACACAATATATTTCAATATTTTGGAACAGTAAATATGTCAAAATAATTAAAATAAATCATTGATTCTTCATTCGTTTCAAAAGCACAGATTTCTTTACTTGAAAATGCATCTTTGAATATCTTTCTTTTCATTGGATATAAATAAGGCAGTGAAAAACACTGTTCGGGTCCAAAGCATGCTTGGATGAAGTTACAAGTCTTTAACAAGTAAAAAATCTGTATATATATTGCAGGAACGATATAACAGAAAAGATTTGCGGTTTAGAAAAAAAACTGACTTTTTCAAACCACAGTAAACCTTGAAAACGGTTATCATCCCATCCCTATTATGTGCTTTTTTTAAATCATAAAACATCATTAGCTTAAATATAGGATAATAAAACGCAAGTAGTCTTCATGTGAAGAGCATTATTTGTATGCTGTGCTGCCTATATGTAGTGAGCTCCAGATGGTGGCATAGTTTAGTTACCCATATAGACATTCATTGATCACACTGAACAGAGAATTCCATGTCCAAATACACAATTTACAAGAGCACAGGATGGAAAATGTGACAGAAGGTCTGCTTCAATGACATTCTCATTACTCTTGTTCCTTCACAACTCTGTTCTAAAATCCCATAATGTAAATATTTAAAAACTGGCCCTTGCTATTAAAAAAAATATTGCTCCTAACAAACTCCTAAGTGAGAGTTTGCATACATCAGTGCTGAGAATCACAAAAACTGCTTTTGGATATAAGTCAAAAGATGAAGGCATAGAAATTGCTTTACAATTATGTAAAGTATATAATGTATGAGCAGATGTGCAAAGAATATTGTGAATATTACAGGAAAAAATGGAGGCTACAAAATAAAGTTTACTTTCTATAATTAACAATTTGCTTAATTCATTTGCATTAAGTTTGTATGCTTGGGTTTAATGTCATCACAGCTTCTATCTGCATTTTTATGTTTAGAAAAAGTGTACAGGAGATATAGATTAAATTAAGATTTTACCATTGAATTTTTAAAAAAAATCTAAAACAGACAAAAAGATTTGCATGGCTCTTCAGTCACCCATAAAAAAAACATAATTGAGCAATTCCAGAATCATGGATGTGACAATTGTAGTAAAAACTCAAACCATAAATTCACATAGAAAGTATATGTTAACATAATATCGAAACATCTGTTTATATTTTCCAAAACAACTAACCACAGCGTTATGGGAACAGAAAAATATCAATCTGTAAATACATTTTAAATTTTAAAAGAAGAAAATAAACATGCATTAAATGTTAACATGCAAAAAAAGTCAGCAGAGTTTACAGTATAACATACTACTACTAACTGTACAACCCAAAAGAAGTAATGTTAATCAAAGAGATAAGAGTTGGCTCAGTATGAAACAAAAATTATTGATTTCATTTTATTTGACATTTTTGAGAGAAAAGCTTTATTATGGATAAGATGCCTCTCCGTTATGGATGTGACAGATGTAAAATTGCTACTTGTGTGACTTTGGTAAATCAAATATAATAGTTTGAAAACATTGACAGAGACATTTCTGAGTATTTTTAAAGTACTGTAAAATACTTACACAAAAAAAAATGTAGAAACTGTATGTCTATTTTGGTAAAAACCTATTTTTTATGGGAAGGTTGATATTTGCATGGAATTGCTCAATTATCCAGCACTTAAAGAAATTGCTTTGAAATTTATACTAATCCAAAAACATGATATGCTACTAACCATCATGTCAAAAACACTATCACCCCAGTATTGATTGCACCAAAACAGTTATGATTGCAATGTACCAAAAAGCATATAAAATACGAATTATTTACAGATTACAAACTGACTGAAATTTTAGACAAAAATAAAAACAAAAAATAATCTAAAGGTAATGTTTAGACTTACAATATGCTTCAAACAGCATGTCAAGATTTCACTTCAAAGTGGTTACAATCAGCTAAGTGTCGTCTATTTTCACAATATAGGTCTACGTTTACAAGACTAAATGATTTGAATTTTATCCGCGTTGTTTTGAACAGTGCTGTCAGCTGCTTCACTCGCATTCATTATTGACAGAGCAAAGTTTCCCCAATGATCATGTAACTTGAATACTACCTACCTACACGCTCAAATCACTGCACACAGAAGTTCAAGCCCTCCAAAAGTAGCCACCGCTTAGTTTAAAGCCTCACCTACGAGTGTCATAAACTTTTATAGTTAATCTGAACACGGACAAGCCGCGGTTGTTTGTACGTACTTAGCGCTGAGCCTCAACAGATGATCAACAACCACCGCACACACATACACACACTTCCAGCCTCCCCAACTCCACAAACACATACAATGCGTACTCCTTCGCCGCTCACCTGTACGTAGTTACTTTCGCAGTACTCGGCGACTCTGTCAAGGTTGGTGAAACTGTCCAACAACGCTCTGCGACCCGCTGGAATTTCCTCCTCCAGCAGCATCTGCAGCTCCGCCATCTTTACATCTCCCTCTCTCTCCCTCCACGCGCAACTAGCGACAGGAAGTACCGCCGCTTCACCTCCCCGTTGAGTTTGGGGAAAGCAGGGAAGCGCGTCTACCAATCCTACTATGGCGAAAAGTTGAAATATAATATAATATAATATAATATAATATAATATAATATAATATAATGTAATGTAATGTAATGTAATATAATATAATATGATAAAATATAATATAATATTATATAATATAATATAATTAATATAATATAATATAATATAATATAATATAATATAATATAATATAATATAATTAATATAATATAATTAATATAATATAATATAATATAATATAATATAATATAATATAATATAATATAATATAATATAATTAATATAATATAATATAATATTAGGATTATTATACATCATGCAATCAAAAATGGCTGATCACTCAAATTACTTTTGTTGCTTGTTTAAACTACTTATTTAAAATAAGTTGAAACAACACAATTCTTAAGTTGTTTTTGGGACAACCTAATTATTTTATGTTGAACCTACTTAAATTTGAGAAAACAATTAAGTTGATGTGATCAATTTGTTGTGGAACTATGAAGCATGCTCAATAAACTCATTTCATTCTGATTAATAGTGCTGATTTTTAAGGTCTTTAGCTCATCAAGTTGCATTTGTTTGTTCAAAAGAGAGTGAAAAGATAAATATTATATCAATATAAAGGTGTCAATAGTGAAAACTTTGTTTTAAAATGTAATTTATTTGTTTGATTTGATCATTATTTACAATGTCACATGATCTGTTAGAAAACAAACATCCAAACAATTTGATGAATGTTTTTGCAGATCAACATTTTCATTTATTTGTATTTTATATAGATGTTCAAAAATTACAAAAGAACATCATCTATCTATCTATCTATCTATCTATCTATCTATCTATCTATCTATCTATCTATCTATCTATCTATCTATCTATCTGTCTGTCTGTCTGTCTGTCTGTCTGTCTGTCTGTCTGTCTGTCTGTCTGTCTGTCTGTCCGTCCGTCCGTCCGTCCGTCCGTCCGTCCGTCCGTCCGTCCATCCATCCATCCATCCATCCATCCATCCATCCAGTCTGTCTGTCTGTCTGAAATGTATTATCATCATTATGGTCATGGTTTACACCTCTCTCTCTCTCTCTCTCTCTCTCTCTCTCTCTCTCTCTCTCTCTCTCTCTCTCTCTCTCTCTCTCAATTCCATTTAATGTTGTCAGTGGCTTTGGTGTATTTCTCACATTATTTACATTTGCAAAACGGTTGATACATTTCTCAAAACAATTATTACAAACTGCAAAACCTATTTGATAACCTGCAAAAGTAAGTCACTTGCTCAAAATGGATAGCTCATTCCCCAAAAGCAAGTATTCACGTCAATGAAAGTGTCAGTGTCATCAAGATGAAAAGTCCTGCCACCATTGTTTATGAACATGATAGTCAAATGTCTTTGTCATGTTTTCATTATGAGAGTTTACTCTGTAAATATTTTCCAATGCTGAATAAGTCAGATTTTGGTGACACTTCCTGAAAATGCTCAAGACAGCACTAGATACTATTTGCACAGCCATTAGAAAACTACAGTAAAGATGTAGAGATGTAAAGATGCATCACTGCATTTAGTGAGGTATGTGAGTGCAAGACACTGAATATGAATGTTTAATATTTTTACTGCATATGCTTTTTGTAATTCTAATTTATTCACACCATTGTGCGAAAGAATAAATACACCCTTATTTACAACAAACATAAACTTTCATTGAGTAGACCTGTGCACAACTGTAAACAATATTGCAGTATACTGAACAGCATGCATAGGTCTGTAAATCGTTCATAAAATTGTTAAATTTGGAAGACATTTTCAAGGAATTCTTTTTTAAACAAATTTTGCTTTACAGATTTTGACAACTAGTTCAACATTTTTGTATGTCAGGACTCAAGTAATGAAATGAGGACTATTAGTTTTATGTGGAATGACTATTCAGCGTTTACAAGTTTAGTTAATTTTGACTGACATGACATAAGCAAATTATAATTTTACAAACAGCAGACAGAGTGTTGTATTAAAGCAATTGATGCATGTCCAAAAGCATTTGCAATTTGTTGGAAGGAATGAGAATCTGCTACTATGATCTCACGGCAATTCGTAACATTTTGATGTAGTGGCTAATTCGTATGAATTCGTACGATCTAATTAGTGCGATTTGCTCACCCCCAAATGACGATTGGGTTTAGGGGTGGGGTTAGGTGCCACGCCTCCTTTTTAAATTCGTACAATTTCGTACGACTGAACTCCTGCGAATTCGTACGAATTAGCCACTATACTGGCAAAACCTAAAATACTTACGTTTTCTCGTGAGATCAGGCTGGATGTCCACAAATGACTAATTGTTTTGAGAAATGCATTAATTGTTGTGCAAATGTAAATAGTGTTGTGAGAAATGCCAAAGTCAAAGTAAATGTTACAAATGAATTGCCAAATCATTTATAGAGTTTACATAAAAAGTAACATATATAATAAAAAACAGTACACACAATAGATAGCAGTAAAAAAAAGTGTGTGTGTGTGTGTAAATATAAATAATATAATATTTATTATATCACATTTATGGTGGCTTGAGAAAATCATCTCTCTCTCTCTCTCTGTCTCTCTGGCAAATCAGAGTTAGTGATTTATGAGACGTTAGTGATTAATGAAAGACCATTTAACTTTGTCATCACAGGAATTAATTTAATTATGACATTTTAAAAAGATAGAAAAAACAGCTTGTTTGAGTTTTAATACCATTTTACAATTGTACTGTATTTTGCAATGCTTAATCAAATATTTAAAAATCTCTAAAACGATGAATCAAAATGTCAGGTTTCATATGGCTGAAGAGCTTTAGCACTAATCATGACATAATAATAGCGCAATATGTATGCTAATACTATAAACAAAAGTAGGCCTAGTTATCTTATTTACCGCATACTTTTTGGCTATTATTTTTTCCTTATATTTTTCTTATGTTTCTTGATTTACTTGTTGTAGTTCTATTGTTTAGATTATGTTATATAAATCAGTGGTTCTCAAATTTTTTTTCATCAAGTACCGCCTCAGAAAAAAATTGTCTCTCCAAGTACCACCAAAATGAGCAGAATTGAAATACAGTAGTGTAGTAGGCCCAGTAAAGCAGCTACAACTCTGCACAGTTAAAAAAAAAACATGGCAAATTACCTTAGAAATATAGGCTATGTGTAATATATGGCATACTATATACATCATTTTTGATAAATTTTGAAATATATGTAGCATGTACATGTAATATTTCATTCCTCCGCGTACCACTAGAAGGAAGCCCGCGTACCACTAGTGGTACACGTACCACAGTTTGAGAACCACTGATATAAATGAAGGCAAACTCATTGTTTCTGCAATTTAATTGTGTCACAATTCAACCCTGTAAAAGTCTTCAGCTGAATGAAATACTTTTGTCTCGCATTCCTTTGTAAACAGCGCCCCCTGTGGTGTCACAACAATACAGCTTTCTCCATGAGTTCACTTTACATTATATTTTTCCTTTTTAAAACGACAGTAAAGCACGCCATACATGGATTTGTGTTTGCATATATTGTATACTGTTTTGTGTGTGTTTGTTTCTGTGTGTGATGTGAGAGATAGAGAGACTTTTGTTTTATTAGAAATATTAATTGTTTATCACACCGCTGGACTGTTAGGTGAACGGCTAAAACAGCCAAAAAAAGCTAAAAATGCTAAATGTTAATTGTCTGTATCAAATTAAATATACAAAATTGATTTTTATATATATATATATATATATATGTCGAACATTGGATGCTAGAAAATGGTTCAAATATCTTTTGTGACAATAACCTGCCAAAAACATTTTGTATTTTATAGAATTTTTATATTATCTGATATATTATATATAAACATTTCTAAAAAGAAAAGTTGATACTGAAATGCATAACACATTAAATTACTTAAAGCTATTTCAAAATTGCAATTAATTAGTATTTTGACCGATTCACTCACTTTGGTTTTTAAATAATCTTTCACTATATTTTGGTATATAACTCGTTGCACTAGTTGACATTATAGTAAATGTCTTCTGAAATCGTGCTGGGGAAAAATATGATGTAATTTTATCATGATGTACGTATTAATCGGTCATTAATTTTCCTTCGGCTTACTCCGTTTTTTCATCAGGGGTCGCCACAGCAGAATGAACCGCCAACTTATTCAGCATGCTTTTTTACACAGCGGATGCCCTTTCAGCTGCAACCCAGTACTTGGAAACATCCATACACTCACTCATACGCATACACTACGGACAATTTAGTTCATCCAATTTACCTATAGCGCATGTCTTTAGACTTGTGGGGTAAACCGGAGCACCCGGAGGAAACCCATGCGAACACGGGGAGAACATGCAAACTCCACACAGAAATGCCAACTGACCCACCCGGGACTCGAACCAGCAACCTTCTTGACGTGAGGTGACAGTGCTAACTACTGAGCCACCGTGTCGCCCTATGAAATATTAACAGGATTAAACAACTGACCACTTTGACCCCTTCACAGCTTATACCAACAACATAAGATCAAAAACAAAATGAATCAGCCAACTTAACAAAAACGTTTATTAATATATTTTTACACAATCTTTACCTATATAACAAGCTCAATAATAAAGTAATATACAAAAGGTTTACCTTACAACATTTAGCACAAAACAAAGTTTAATGTTAATTTCTGACCGCTAATAAATCTTGCAGCAGTCTCTCAGGCTGCCAGCTCATGTTTGTCATCATGACGTGGATATTCCTCCACCTCCATCGCCATTAAAAACTCTAGCAGGAAAGAGAAACATTAGTACTTATGCTGCAAAGTAAACTTATAAAATAACTGACTGCTGACAGAGATAAAATACACATGCACATTAGTCTTCAATAACATAATATAC